GATAAGAAATTTTTATAAACAATTAAATGCGGATGACTGTCTTTCGGGAAGCCGCGCCGTATAGTCTGGTAGTTTATCGACGTTTCGGAGGTGCTCGCTGCCTCCAACATCATCAATTAATTAAATTATATATTTATAATTTGCGAGATTACTGTCTTCCAGCATTCTGCAATGCAACATACACTTATAAAAGCAGCAAACCAGAAGCCCCGAGCATAACCAGTCCGTTCAAGATCCATCTGCGTCTCGAGCGGTCTCTTACGTTCAGGTTTTATGAACGAAATTTTGTACAAGTGTCTCGTCTTTCCCTGCGTGCTACACTCTGAGCCCACCCACAACTCCGTAACAACAGGTATCTTGAATTATGAAGGTTAGGCTTCTCAAAATGTCCAACGCCCTGCGGGGGGGGGGGGGTTCCAGCCTTTAACTCAACGACTTCGCCAGTCATTTGTGAGAACAGATCGTCACATGTCTGGTCGAAGGTTACCCACATCATAAATGTCACTTCAACTCAATCATCCCTCAGCCAGCTGAGCAACTACTGGCTTCACAACCAATCCTCGTGCCTCTCGGTTCGCAGTTTTGGAGAGACGCCCGTAGGAACAACGAAGCAAAAATTTTTAAGCCCTTCACCTTCGACGTATATTATGAAGCAACCTTAATAAACAGAATTCGACACGCTGCGAAAATCTAGTTACAGAACTAAAATACGTACAAGTGCGAAATTAATTTATTCAGCTTGAAGGCTTCCTTTAAATTTATTACAGTACGAGCTCAGCTGATAATCATAAACACGAACTTCATTTTATAGATCAGAGGCTTATATTACGAGGGTTGTTGCCAGGGAAACGCGCAGATCAAGATACGGTACGGTAGTCTGTGTAACGAAAGATCTCATTAGCCTACCAAAAAACAATAAATAAAACGAATCTGTACAAATATTCATTCTTTAATAACTTAAAAAAAAAAATTTGCACTACATTGTTCATAATTTAAGTCAATCTCGCAAAACCTAAATAAACATATTAAAATTAATGCCACATTTAAGAAAATACGCGATGGCAGAGTAATTGGATACAATCCTAAATGAATAAGAACAGCGAGGCAGGCTAGACGTAGTGACAAAGAGCCTCATCTAAATTTACCCTCGAATACAATTCAATTCCTGGCGTTTCGCTTCATATTTTCCGTTCTGTACATTCCATCTGCTTTAGACATATTTTAGCGTCCATGAAACAGATGAAACAAGATTTTATAACTTAAATTATAAAACTGCGTCGAACGATGAGGGTAGAGATGAACATCCCGCAACCCTCTGCGAAAGAAAAATCCAGCGCCATCTCTGTCGTGGTCTACCCAGTTGACGTCTACGCCCTGCTTGTGGGGTAGTTACCATCGCAGCACTTACGAAATTCAGAAACGTACAGAATTTACGTCTCCGTCAACCTGAGAAGTGGTGATTTCCTGAACAGGATACGCCACTCCGGGGGAGTTAACGCGAGATAACATCCCAGACACGTGGTAGGAATACCAAAACCTCCACCAATCACCCGAAATCGGTCTGGCAGGGCGTTCTTAGGCGCATAAAACGGTGAATACAATTCGAAAGACGCAAGACTTCGGCTAATCACGCGTGGAACAGCGATCATTTCCTTAAACAGCATTAACCTACTAATCTTTGCAATGGCGAAGTGCGGTGTTTTCTTCGCGGTACGAACTGGATTTTTCAATGTTACTTCCTTACAATGGTCTTTGCAATGGCGAAGTGCGGTGTTTTCTTCGCGGTACGGACTGAAACCTCAGACACTGTTTAGACGAGCTTCGGATTCAAGGGGTTATAAACAAAAAAAAAATAAAAGAGATAAATTGACTCGGTGAACACGTTCGCTGGGGCTGAGTTACACGAACAAAATTCTACTCACGTACAACACAATCTTGAACAAATGGGTACAGTAGGTAAGATTTCAGGTTCTCACTGACTACCTACAAAGACGCTCTTTTACCTCGCGCTGAAGATCGTTGCCAAGGCCAGGAAACAGCCGTCGGCCACTTCGGGGGATCCCGTGTAGCACCGGTCAACTACCCAGTCAAGGAGAGGCCCAATATCCGGATTGCATTCAAGCAAAAGAACGACAGTCTCTCGGGCCAACTGGTAGATCTGCAACAAAGAATCATAACAGCGCGGATAAGGCGCAGTGTCGAAGCGTCATAAGTGCATGACGCACGGCCCTCCTCACGAGTTGACAGTCAAGAATTTCCCGGCATTTTCAAGGGACCCCGAAAGTTCACTGTCGTGTCGCCACTGGACCTCACATCCTGAGCCACATGAATCAGTCCACACCCTCAGAAGCCATTTCCTTAAAACTCGTTTTAATATTATCCTCCCAATCACGCCTAGGTGTTCCGAGTGGTATCTTTCCTTCAGTTTTTTTTTTCAGTCAAAATGTATTTATCATCTTTCTCATACAAGCTTACGCCACGGTGATATTCATTTCAATTTTCTTCTTCGGAACAAAATTCACCTTTCACGGTGAATATGTCGATTAAGGTATAGCTCAGGCATTAAAATGTCAACGTTGTAACGCAATTGCCAAAAAAGGACTGGGTGACTGACTCGAAAATGAGGTTAGGTCAGTGTATCGTCACAAACAAAACTGACTACTGTGTGAGATCTGAGATTCTCACGGCGACTATGAAGATGGAAGTAGTAAGATCCGCCGAAACATCGGTCAATATCTACCAGACTACGCGGAACAACAACCCCGAAGACGGCCAACTTCAAACTCATGTCTCGTTTACCTACTTCAGCTGTATGAACACACACACACACACAACAGAATCTCAGCAAAGTTAAGTCGAGAAATATTGAAAAATTAAAGAGCACGTCTAGTAATTAGAGTTTTCGATCTGGGTGCTGAGAAGCCAGCCCTACTTATATTCCTCTCTCAAAGTGAGATTGCAGCATACGAACGCCACTGAACGGAACAGAACGGAACTTGGGCTGCTAACGGAAGGGGTGGTGGTTAAGCAGACGTTGGCGAACGGGATTTGGTCCAGACGTTAATTTACGTGGCCTCAGAATTAAGGCAAAAGTGTAAGACGTCGGGTACTTTAAAGGGTATAACATCATTGCAACTACGAACGTCTTCTGCAAAAAATCACAAAATTATAACAGATTTTCAAAGCTTTCGGGTATTCCCGTTGATGCAATGCAAAAAATCACAAAATTATAACCAATTTTTAAAGCTTTCGGGTATTCCCGTTGATGCAAATAATATCAGCGTTTTGTGTGTGTGTGTACCAACAGAAACTTCAGTAAAATCCACAAAATAAATTATTGTATTTTTTCTTTTTTTTTAGAAAACTAAATTCCAATTTATACCACATTTAAAATATATTTCTTACACTGTACAAACTTTATAGCATATCGTAACTTGCTTAAAATTGAATCCTTTCACAAGGAAATGCTTACGTTCTACAGGACATAAATGGTATTCCATAAATGGCACATGGCCTCTTTAATATGAACACGTATAATACATAAAAAGTTATCTCTGACGAAGGGGCAGGAACATTTTAAACAGAACACACCCACTACAGTGATGATGTCAATGGAAAAACATCAGAATATCGAAAAAGCAACAATGACTGTAATCTATGGAGTGCTTTCTAAGAGAATAAAGGAGTACTAACACATAAAAGCAGTTGAAAATTGGGACACAGACATAAGACGCCATTATAAGAAAGAGACAGCAGCGCTATTTACAGACGACAACAAAAGAAACTAAAGAATCGAATATATGACAATTATCAAACATTCTGAGGAAGATCGCAAGAAACATCGCGCGATTCATGCGTAATACACAACGTTAACGACGCACAATGGCTTACAGAAATAGAACGGACAAAACATTCGATGAATCCTAAAATATCAGTGGATAGAGCAGCACGTCAAAGAATCAGATTACTTCAGAAGTCGAAGGTTGACGGACTCAGTCAGAAGACTACCGAAGTTCAGATGATTGGCCGGTTACAAGCAGACACCTTTCCAGGAATTTCGTCTGCTTAACAACCTACGTGGCTCTTCTCGACCTTTCGCGCGACTCAAGGATCGGAAAGACTGCAGTCGCCAGCCTAATCAACAAAGTCCTGACAATTTATGGAACTCGAAGATTCATTATCGTCACTGGGCCCTATCCCGAGTCACCTGAGTCCACTCCAAACTCAACGTAAGATACATTTTAATATTATCCTCGAACCTCTGCAGGTCGATGTTGGTCTTCTGGGTTCCAACGCATCCATACCAAAACATCAATCTGATTCATGACGAAAACTAATAATTTTAATAATAATAATAATAATAATATTGCTATTAATCAAGTATCGAGCGTCTCCGCCAAGTGATTACCAATCCAGTTTCGTATTCGGGAGACAAGTCAAAACGTGCCCGTACGCGGGCTATCCTCTTTCTCGTGGTTTTCGTCAGTTCTTCCATAGAAATTCCTGGACGGTACCTTCAATTACGGCATGACCGATGACTTCCATTTCCTTTCGCTAGTTATCACATCGTTCGACGTCATTTAAAATAAACTACTGCACCCGCGGTTAAATAACGCATAAATAAATAAAATTTGTGGTCATTATTCCCTGCGATTAACTGAAAAATCTTACAACGTACGAACTTCTAATTTTGCACGCCGAAGTGAGATAAGAAAATGCCCACCTACTGTGACAGACGCCGCACATTCGCATCAGCGGAGATGGGCTCATTAGGTTCTTATTAACCTTGGCTAGCCAAGTAGTCACTTTCCTTGACTAAAGTAACATCATCACCCTTGGTTTGTCTAGATAGGTCACGTAGCACGTATATTCCGTGTTATTTATTTACCAAATTTAGGGGCACGTTATTCGTCCCTCGTCCCCCACAAATGTCCAGACAAATTACTTCACAGCCTCAGACTTACGAGAGAATGCCCCCCCCCCCAAAAAAAAGGCCACACGTGCACCAGACAATCGCGGTTTCAAATCAACAGCTGTCATCACCATTACTACAATACTCAATCAATAAATTGATTTTTAAAATCGTCAGTATTTAATGTGAAACTTAGGAGCATCACACACAAATTGGGAGGTGCAGGATTCGAATCTACGTTTTCCTCAGTCCTTAAAAACAAATGCTACGATAGTACATTATAATGTACACGCCCTCTTAACATTCACAAACACGATAACGTCTGACGTAACGTAAAGTACGCTCTTCTTAAGAGCACGTAGCATCCTGTCCCAGGGGCTGAAACGTATTTCTTAATTAGGTCTCACAAAACCCGGCTTCTAATTATTAGGCAGAAATACATTTCCCTTTCAAACCACTAACATGTCACACGACCCAATTAGCCCAGTGTCAAGTACATAAACACGAGCCAAAATTCTCGATTAAAGGCGTCTGAATTATTAAAACATTCTCCTAGAACCACCGTCTTCGTAATGCACAAGAACTTCGAAAATTCATTTCTAAACGTTCCTCAAGAAGGTGTATCACGATTATTTATAATTTTAAAAAAACCGAATTACCTTGCCACGCAATAAAAGATTAAAAGCGACGAGGTTTTCGCAAAAACAAAGTTTGAGACTCTACATACAACAGCCAGGAGGCGCGTAGTAGAATGAACAGAACGTAACTTCGTATCGGTGCGTAATTTTGCCCAGGCGATGAATAACAACTAAAAATTCAAAAAAATTAAGTACTTATTATTATAAATATAAAGTTTTAATAAAAATAGAAGGCTAAGGAACGCAGAGGTCAAAACATCTCACTGATCCAATCAGAAATGAAGATGTTGTGCGATCTTGGAACAACCTTCAAACATCCGATCTGACGACGATTGGTGCAATAGCAAATGACCTGCCAGTAGATAAAAAGTTGGAAGCATCGATTAGACGCACGAAGACAGTTCCCGGTCGTACGGTCCAATGCGCTAACCGTACTGAAACCTTCGTAACTTAATTGGACCTACGGCCCTGTTAGGCCTGCTTGATAATCCACAAGTCCGCATTTTTTACGTCTCGTACAAATGTCGCTGTAAACAGCGTTAACCAGTTGATCATCGTAATGGTAAAGAGTGGTGTTTTCTTCGCGGTACGGGCTGAATTCTTAAATGTTATTTGGCCTATCTTAGACGTGCACTTCGACACACAGGCGAAAAGACTAATAAATATTCAGCACAAAGAAAGAAATTCATTCAGTAACGAAGTGGAACCGAAAGTGACGTGAGTGCAAAGTTTGGTGCAAATTGGTACATCCATTCTCGAGTTGTATGCGAACACACAACTCGGAAAGACGAGCTTCTACATTTTCTGAGGGAACTGAGGAAGACCACGAAAACCTTCAGTCATGACAGCCTGTCCCTTGGAAGATATTTTAATCCGGCAAC